CCACTTAACCTACTGACATTTAAGGTAATTATTGATAGGTATGTATTTATTGCCATTGTAAACCTTGTTTTCCACTTGATTTTGTACTTCTGTGTTCCTTTCTTGTTCTTTTTGTTTTCCCTTTTGTGTTTTGTTGGTTTCTTTTCTATTCTTGAGTTTTCTTTTTGGTTTTTGTGAATCTATTATATGTTTTTGATTTGTGGTTACCCTGGTTTTCAAGTATGTTAACCCATTACTATATCTACGTGCTTTAGGCTGGTAGTCATATAATCTCAAACACGTTCTTTTAAAAATCTACGTTTTCTTACTCCCCTCCCCTCATTTTTTGATTTTGATGTCCTATTTTATATCTTCCTATTTATCTTTTTGGTGTTCATTGTAGTTACAATCACTTTCACAAAGTTGTTTTTGTTTTTTGTTTTTGCGGTACGCGAACCTCTCACTGTTGTGGCCTCTCCCGTTGCGGAGCACAGGCTCCGGATGCACAGGCTCAGCGGCCATGGCTCACGGGCCCAGCCGCTCCACGGCATGTGGGATCTTCCCGGACTGGGGCACGAACCCGTGTCCCCTGCATCGGCAGGCGGACTCCCAACCACTGCGCCACCAGGGAAGCCCACAAAGTTTTTTTGATATTCTTTTAATCTATGTACTGGCCATTTAAGTGATGTACAGTCCTTTTATATATGTCTTTCCTACTGTGATTTTCCCTTTCTTATAGATTCTTGCTTTTTTATTTAAAGCAGACCTTTCAATATTTCTTTTAGGATAGGTGTTAGGATTGCTGTATTCTTTTAGTTTTTGCTTGTCTGAGAAATTCTCTTTCCTTCTATTCTAAATGATAATCTTACTGGGTAGAGTATGCTAGATAGTAGGTTTTTCCCTTTCACGACTTGGAATATATCTTGCCACTCCCCTCTGGCCTGCAAAGTTTCTGTAGAGAAATCAGCTGATAGCATTATAGAGGTTCCCTTGTAACTGACTCCTTGTTTTCTCTTGCTTCCTTGAGAATCCTCTGTGTTTAGCTTTTGCCATTTTAATTTTGATATGTCTTTGTGTAGGTCTGTTTAGATTCATCTTGTTTGGGACCCTCTGTGATTCCTTTACCTGGGTATGTTTCTTTCTTTGGGTTTGGGAAGTTTTCAGCTATAATTTCTTCAGATACATTTTCAATCCCCTTTTCTTTCTTCTCATTCTGAGATCTCTGTTATGCGTAGATTGGCATGCTTTATATTATCCCATAACTCTCGTGTGTTGCTTTCATTCTTTTTCATTTGCTGTTCTGATTGGGTGGTTTGCATTATCCTGTTTTCCACATCACTTATTCGTTCTTCTACATTATTTATTTTGCTATTTATTGCCTTTAGATAGGTTTTCATCTTGGCAATTGAATTGTCTAATTTTAATTGGCTCCTCTTTATAGTGTGTTACAGTGATCTGCATTTCTATCAGTATTTCATTATCCCTTCAGCATTTTTATTACCTCCTTTTTGGACTCAGGGTCTGGTAGACCGGAGAGGTCTGTTTCACTGTTCTTTTAATTGGGAATAGCTCCCCTGCTTTTTCTTACTTATATTTCTCTGAATCTATTATGAATTTAGGGAAAACAGTTATCTACTGTGGTCTTGAAGGGCTGTTTTTATGTGCAAGCATCCCTGTGTAGCTTGTGTGAGTCCAGTATTTTTGGTTGTAGGGCTCTTTTTGTTATGGGTGCCTACCACATCTTTCCTGTGTGTGCTGGCCGTTTTCCCAACAGAGGGTGTGTCTGGTGTTGTGGTGACCAGAGGCTGCACTGGATGTTGAGTGGGGCTTCCTCTTTCCTATGTGGTTGTCATAGCCCTTTGGGGGCAGGGTCTGCTCCCTGCTCCAGGTGTTAAGAGTAGAAGCCCCAAGATCTGATTATAAGCTGTGGTGTGAGGTAGGTTGGGCTGGAGTGCTCCATCTGGGAAAGGAGCCACTGCGTATTCCTCCCCAGGAGCTGTCCACCAGGACCTGCATTCTCTGATGTCATTTGTCACTCACTGTGTGTGCTCACAAAGTACACTGTTGTTGGCACTACCCTCAGCTCTGCCTCCACGTGTGGGCAACCTACTGGTGTTTTGTGTGCTCCTAGAACTCAGTGGCTGACCTGTGCCCACTGTGAGCAAGCCGAGAATGAGGCTGCTATGGCGGGGCCATGCCCCTCTCTCATGTGTGTGTTAACAATTGGGCTCCCATGACGGACCCAGGCTCCATCCTGGACACTCCCACTTGTGGCCCTGAGCACATTCCAGGCCCTTCAGGCTGTCTCCAAAGAGTCCTCTCCCCCAGTCTGTCAGCTGAAATCCAAGTTTCAGCAGCGACTTGCTGTGCACACCAAGCAGGTGCTTGTCTCCTGCTGGGAAATGCAGCAAGATAGCAAGGACCCTCTGCACTGGTCTCTGCTGGTTTCTGTCCTGCTTGCCACACGTTAGGTGTTGCACTATCCTCCAAGTCTCAGGCTATCTTTCCTAGCTGACCTCTCAGCTGGTGTAGGAGGATCCCAGGGTGAGGAAACCTTTCATAGCTCCCTCCCGAGGGCACAGGTCTCATCCTACCCAGTTACGTGGTGTATTTCTTGCTGCTTTGGTTGTATGAGATCTGCCAGAATCCAGTAGGCATTCTGAGAATTATTCCACATGTAGGTGTATTTTTGATGTATTTGTATGAAGAAGTGAGCTCCATATCCTTTTATTCCGCCATCTTGATCTCATCCCCCCAAGTTTTTATTTAGCTTTTAAATGCTTAAATTTTAGATGGTCAAAACTATAGAAAGAGATAGTCACAGTATTGCTTCCATCCCATCTCTTTCCTCCCCCTATTGGTAACCATTTTTATTTGGGTTTACTCTTCCTTTTTGAATTTTATGCAAATACATGTACATTCATATTTCCCACTTTTTTGTGTGTGTGTGTGGTACGCGGGCCTGTCACTGCTGTGGCCTTTCCCGTTGCGGAGCACAGGCTCCAGACGCGCACGCTCAGTGGCCATGGCGCATGGGCCCAGCCGCTCTGCGGCATGTGGGATCTTCCTGGACCGGGGCACGAACCCGCATCCCCTGCATCGGCAGGTGGACTCTCAACCACTGCGCCACCAGGGAAGCCCTTCCCACTCTTTTTGACACTAAGGTAGTTAAGTGTAGCATAAACAATGTTCTGCATGTTGCTTTTCCACTTACTGTATCCTGACTGATCACTGTGTATCAATATGTGGAAATAATCTTCATTTTTTGGTGACTATTAGTACTTCCTGTGTGGATGTCCCAAAGTACTAGTTTACTCAGCTAGTGCCCTATGAGTTGATATTTGGGTGTTTCCAATCTTTTGTATATATCACTCCAAATTTTTGCCAGTGTTACTTTTGGGAAAGAGCCTAGAAGTAGAATTGTAAATTAGAGGATAAATGCACATATAATTCTGGTAAATACTACCAACAACTACTCTTCTATACAAGTTTTAAGCTTCTCAACCTTTTCATTCCATTACCATATATGTATTTCCCCATACCCTGAATAGTCCATATGTTTTAGAGTTTTTCCAATAAAAGTTAAAATACAGTATGTTTTTTTATATGCTAAATTCTTTTTATATGTTAAATGGTCACTTAGGGATTTCCTGGTGGCACAGTGGTTAAGAATCCACCTGCCAATGCAGAGGACACAGGTTTGAGCCCTGGTCCAGGAAGATCCCACACGCTGCAGAGCAACTAAGCCCATGCACCGCAACTACTGAGCCTACGCTCTAGAGCCTGTGAGCCACAACTACTGAGCCCACACACCACAACTACTGAAGCCCGTGTGCCTAGAGCCTGTGCTCTGCAACAAGAGAAGCCTGCACACTGCAACGAAGAGTAGCCCCCACTCGCCGCGACTACAGAAAGCCCATGCACAGCAACGAAGACCCAACACAGCCAAAAAGGTTATAAACAAACCAAAAAAAAGTCACTTACATTCCTTTTACTAATGAAGTGTTTGTTAATAATTTTGGAATTCTCTCAATGTGTCATGTTAATTGGTAATTAACATGGTAATTGTGGGGGGGTTTTGCCATGTAAACATTACATAGTTAAAATTATCAATATTTAGCTTTGTTACATCTAGATTTTAAGTAAGTCACATAGTATAGTTTTCCCTCACTGAGGTTACGATGGAGTCTTTCAGTACTCATGTGGCTTCACTTTTACATTTAGATCTTCTGATCTGTTTGGAATGTACCCATATGGCTATTTTTAGTTATCTCAATAAGAGCCATCTCTTCCCCATAGTTATGAAATGCTATTTGCTGTATTCTAAACCTTCCATACACCTTGGGTATTTTTTATTCTGTTCCATTGGTCTGTTTATTCATGTGCCAACATCACAGCTTTAATTATAGAGGTTTTATAATGTGTTCAATATTTAGTAATAGTTATCCTACATATTGGCTGTTTTTTATGTTAATTTTAAACCCCACCAAACTTTACCCTAGTACTTTTACCAAATTCTCTTATTAACTGTAGTAGTTTTGGATTTCTCCTCTACGCATCTAATTTGCTTTCTCTTTTCTAATTGCAGTGGCAAATAGCTCCAATACAACATAGTTATGGAAATCACAGGCATCCTTCTTGCTCTTACTTCTGATTTTAGGGGGAGTAATACCCTCTGAAATAAACAATTCCCCTAAAAGCCTGACTTTTCTGACATACATCTGGACATCTGCTACACGATAGGTTTTTATTCAGCACAATAGATGGATTTCATATTTTACTTTACAGTTATTGTTTTTACAAGCCATCTGATCCATGGCAAACCCACTTACTGGTACTATATAAATATGTGTATTCTCAAGTTTCAATTTAGTTCCAATTTATTCATAAATATATTTAAATCTAGAGAAAAATATTTGTGATTAGATTATTAGGGCATGTTAATTCATGGTATATACATTACTTAAGCTGTGAATAGATCAATCTCTATAACAACCCTGAAACACAGGTATGAATTTGCATTTTATGCAAAAATTCACGTTTTATTTTTATTCTTACATTGGCGGGAGCTGATGTCAGAACTGAAAGGCAAGCAATAACTTGTTTCTACCCCTTAGCTGAACAATAATACACACAATGTGGCATTTTCATTAGGTAAGAAGACTTGTTTCTTTACATTTCACACTAGAATACATTACCCTTTTCTTGAATAAAATGACCCGGTTACTAAGGAAACCATCTTTGGAGGGAGTGTTTGTTTAATAAGCATATTTTATTTAAATAAATCCTCCAGCAGGAAATGGAGAATTCATTGCCTTTACTTAGACTGTGTAAGTAGTTATATGTCAAATTTATCTGTGCAGCTCACCAACATGTCCTCGTTGGAAACATCGATATTTCCACATCACAGTTCCCAAAAAGACTAAAGTCTCAGAATTCTGTATCTCCTTTGGCTTGCTTCTCTCTTGATTCCACCCAGGCTTTATTAATGGTTCGCTTCATATCATCATCTCCATCTTCATAAATTTTCTTTAGAACATTCATTAATCCCTCACTAGGATCTGTTTCGGTGTCGTAGGAGGGCTTTCTGTTAAAAAGAAAACACACGCAATCAATAATGGAGGAATATATATAATGTACATGAAACATATAATAGTAATAATAATATATAGAATATACAAATATATATAAATAATCCCATTTACTAACAAATTTTATAGGTATGATTACTAAGTATGAAAAGAGACAAATTAGTATGTAGGAAGCACAAGAGTGGAGGTAAGAGGAAGACAGAGTATCCAAACATACTCTGACAATCAAAACATGTACAGATTCATCTTAAACAATATATAACCACACTTAGTGCATCAAAGAATGGGCATCAAAAATGGTTAAGGGGGACTTCCCTGGTGGCTCAGTGGTTAAGAATCCACCTGCCAATGCAGGGGACATGGGTTTGAGCCCTGGTCCAGGAAGATCCCACATGCAGCTAAGCCTGGGCGCCACAACTACTGAGCCTGTGCTCTAAAGCCCACGAGCCACAACTGCTGAGCCCACGTGGCCCACAAGCCACAACTACTGAGCCCACATGCCACAACTACTGAAGCCCGTGCATCCTAGAGCCCATGCTCCACAACAAGAGAAGCCACTGCAGTGAGAAGCCCATGCACTGCAACATAGAGCAGCCCCCACTTGCCGCACTAGAGAAAGCCCAGGTGCAGCAACAAAGACCCAACACAGCCAAAAATTAATTAATTTTTAAAACAATGGTAAGGGGTTATCTTGGGACTATGGGATTTTAGGTTAATTTTTAGCAGGAAAAGTAAAGAAATAAACTTTTACTTTTCTTTTAATTTTCTTAAAAGCATGTTTCCTCATATAATATGAAAAACAAATTCATTGATAAAAAACAAACATGTTATATATGGACACATACTAAAGCTCATATTTTTTAATTAGAAAAGCCTTCTCTTAAGCCTGAGATACCTGAGTTTTGGACCTGGTGGTATAAAAGCACAGCCCTCAATATAGTCAACACTTCTAGTTCAATCAGTGTGCAAACTGGGCTCATTAACTTTATACTTAATTTTTCACTTACCTCATTTATTAAGTGCCAGATTCTGTACTGGACCCTGGGGATACAGTAACAGTAAAACAGGTTCCTATACTCAGGTAATCCATTCTAGATTTAAAAGCAATTCCACAGGTAATGCCTAACACCTTAGCCAACCACATCCCAAATGCACACTGGCTATGGGAGGGAGGAGTGAGAGAAATGTGGATGGCTAATTGACTCAACGTAGTACATTACTACTGCAGGAAAGCAGAGGAATGTTTTACCTAGGATGGCAGTATCTTTGAATAAACATTTTTCAGAATAGCCATTATTATTAAGGAGGATAAAAATATTCTCTTTTTCACTCTATACCAGTGATAGTGAAATTCTAACTATATATCAGAAACTTCTGTGGAATTAAAAAACCATATATGGGTATCTGGGCTACTATGGAACTACTGAAATGGAATCTCTCGGAATGAGCACAGCACCTATATAGCAGCACCACTGGCCCAGGGTTAAGAACCAGCACAAAAGAACCAACCACAAGTACAAAGACCTCCTTAAAAAGCAACTTGCTAGATACATGCCCTCTTCGGGTGCCCTCTGACAAGTGAAAGCAGATATAACTGGGTTAATCAGAGGACATTAGAAGGTAAATGGTCAAATTGCAGACTATACACCTCCATTATTGATGAACATCTACAACCCTAGCAGAGAATACATTATAATTCTTAAATAAATGAATGTAGACTCACTCTTTCTCTTTGCATTCTTTTTCAACCTGAGTCAGGTAGTCCCACCGTGTATTTTCTGCTTTCTTCCTACATAAGATAAGAACTGTATCTGTCTTGATCTGGAAGAAAAGTGGAAAACAGGTACAACTTAGAACACATGGAGATAGGCATGAATATTTAGAAAATAATTATTTACTCAATTACTCGAGTTACTGTTACGTACAGGACCCGTTTTAGGTGCTAGTAATACTTTTATGAATAGGCTGGAAAATCATACACAAACTGTAATTCCTTCAAATACTAGATGCTATCAAGACAAAGAGGATGTTAATGAGTATTGGGGAAGGAACTTCACTAGGAGAGCCTCTCTGGGGTGAAATGTGAGCTGTGGCCCAAGCTCCAGGAAAGAGGGCCTTCCAGGCAGTTGACACAGGAAGAGAGGATTCTGGTGTCTTTGAAAACAAGGAGGAGGAATGGCTGGATTTTGATGATTGAAGGAGAGAATAAAACAGTAAGAGGGGTCAGAGACAGGCAGAAAATCATGTAAGGCAGTATCGGTTAGGGAGTTTGCAAGGTGAGCAGAAACAGCAAGAATATACAGCCCTTTCAACAATGATCCACATAACTCTAGGACTCTTGAGTAATACTTCAACATGTGATTAGTGGACAAAGAAGGGAGCAGGGAGTCACAAGTTAATCATTAAATTATATTCTAATATTACCTTTAAGCTGCCACATAACTCTATGTAAACACAGACAGCAGAATGGCACATCTGTGTACCAGGGGCATTAAACTTCATTTATTTAAATTAGGTAGGAACAGAAGGATTATCTGAATTAGTGAAAAATGAATAATGTTGCTTCAAAGACAGTTTATTTCAATTTTGTAAAACAAATTATTATTCCCATTGCACAAATGAGAAAACTGAGGTATAAAGTGATTAAGTGAGCTGCCAAAGGTCACAATTAATATGTGATAAAACTGGCATTAAAACTCAAGTCTCGGGCTTCCCTGGTGGCGCAGTGGTTGAGAATCTGCCTGCCGATGCAGGGGACACGGGTTCGAGCCCTGGTCTGGGAAGATCCCACATCCCGCGGAGCAAGTAGCCCCGTGAGCCACAATTACTGAGCCTGCGCATCTGGAGCCTGTGCTCTGCAACAAGAGAGTCCGCGATAGTGAGAGGCCTGCGCACCGCGATGAGGAGTGGCCCCCGCTTGCTGCAACTAGAGAAAGCCCTCGCACAGAAACGAAGAGCCAACACAGCCATGAATAAATAAATAAATAAATATTAAAAAAAAAAAAAAAAAACTCAAGTCTCATTCTTAACCACTTTCAGTTTATTCAACACCCTCCTGATTCTAATGCAATATTCTTATAATCTATTTTTCTAGAGCAGGAGCTGGCAAACTTTTTCTGTAAAGAGCTAGATAATTAGTATTTTAGGCTTTGTGGGCCACATGGTCTGTTGTAGCTACTTAACTCTGCCACTGAAACACAAAAGTAGCCAGACAACACATACACAAATGAGCACTGATATGTTCAAATAAAACTTTATTTACAAAACAGGCAACAGGATAAATTAATTCTAGTTCATCTTAATTCTAAACTGGCCAGGTAATTTCATGAGGTTTCACAATATTATGAAAAAAATATTATGACAATTATGACAATATTACAACAAAAAAGTAAACCTACCTTTTTCGAACTGCCTTCCACAGAGATGGGTTTCAAGAGATTGTTCACAATCATGGAGTAACTCTTCCCATTTAGATTCTTTACCAAAAGATCAAATGACCTACAACACAATAGTGAACACTTTATCTTTCTGGTTCTGTGAAAGGTGCTCTTCAGTCGTTGTGGCAATAAAGCCAGTTTTACTTTAGGATGTGCACCTGGCCATCCCAGATGATAAGACTCAACCTTTAAAGCAGATGTAAAGGATAATTTTAAATTTAAGCAGAATTTTAGAAACTGAAAAGAACCCATAATAAGGCACTGTCTTCCCCATTATGAGAACTCACCTCTCTGTGAAATGCACCTGCACATTCTCAGCGGGGACTTGATGAACTCCAGTTAAGGTAATGTAGATTTTCACAAACTTATCCGACTGATCCCATCCTGGTTAACAACAACAAAAAATGGACCATGAGTAAAGTCTGATACTATCTCTGGAATAGCAAATGCACACAGCTCATAATAAAACTCACTAAGATAAAAATCTAGTAATAGAAACATGAAAGAAATAAAGATATAAGAAACTTTTTAGATGGAAAAATTGAGCTTCAAAGCAGTTAAGTAATCTACCCAAAGTCAGGCATCTAGCTAGTGAAACAACCTGGATTCAAATCCAGGTTTACTGAACACAAAGCCCATGTTCTTTTTATTCCTTAGAGTAAGCAATATGATCGTTAAATACTTCCTTAATTGTAGCTCATTTCCCCTTTTCATGGATATAATTTTGTCCTATTCCTAAATATTGATAATCTCCACCAAGCTGGATGGCTAAACATCAGCTTTGTCTAATCAGTATTAGCTAATTCCATAATCATTTCTACTTCTCTAAGCAGTTCAGCAAATGCAAACCTAGCTTCCTCCATTCCTTTCCCTGATAAAGCAGAATATAAATTTAGAGAGTCAAATTCATACAAATCTGCCAATTTAATTAACCTACCAATATCTAGAAGTTATTTCATTTTTTTATTATCAAGCTAGTCTCTAACCTACATGAATTCTGCTAACAGAAAATACACAAATGTCACATAAAAAGCACATCATATAATAAAATATATATTTATCTATTTATTGTACTATATGACTTTTTCTTACTTAGTCCTATAGAAATCTAGTGTTAATAAAAAAAAAAGATGTTCTAGAGGGTTCTGTACTTCATTTAGTTATTTCCCATCCGTTCAACCCATCCTCCACATTGATAACTATTTCTCCCTAAACACAAATCTAGGTTCCTAGTTACTATGCCAGAATCCTACCACCTTCAGACCAGTTTCCTATCGTCAACGAAGTACACAGCGTATCTCCTATAGTACTGCAGTACATCACTTAAACACAACACACACACTGCTTTTTGCTATGACGATACCCAAAACGCATGATGCGTTTCACGTCTCTACTCATGTCCTTTGCTCATGCAATTCCCTTCTTTTCTTCATACTTGACAAACTCACCTTTTAAACTCAAATGTCTCTTCTAATTCTCCCTGACTGTTCCTCCCCTCCAGCAGAATTACTTTATCAGCTATATTCTCATAATACTTTATAAATCTCTATTCAGTTAATGAAATATTAAGTACTTACTGTGTGCTAGATATTGTGAGCACAAAGGAAAATAAGACTGTCCCTGCCTTCGTGAGAGCTCATTACTCAGACTTCAAGTTGCATTGCTTCCAAAATAAAAAAAGTCTATAATCAATTTAGGGAAAATGGTATTATGACATTGTTATGGCATTAATTGTACGTCTATGTCCCAACCACACCGTGAGCAGGGATTGGGTCTTGCTCACTGTTGTGTATCCACAAGTCCAAGTACAATAAAGGCACATACTAGGTGCTCAAAAATGTTGTTTGAATATAACTGGATTCTCTTCCTCAGTTAATATCGGTGATTGTTTGGCAAACAGAAATGCAAAACAGGAAGAAAAACAAAACAAAAAGCTGTGTCCATATATACTGAATATATTTCAGAATAGGTTCCTTCTTGCTGCTACTCACCATTGTACTAATCATCTTGCTCTCTTATTAATTAATTAGCTTTTAGAATGCAGCATTTTCTTTTTAATATCTTAAAAAGCATCTTATTAAATAAGAACTAATGGGTCTTCTCTTTAAAATCACCAAAAATAAACACTCAAGACTATTAAAAAATTGATTTTGTTAGTGGGTCACTACTAAGGAATACATGGCTCAGAGGCAGAAATAACTGTATAGAGCTGTATGTAGGGGTGAGTCATACCATAATTACTGATTTTCACTGTATATCCTGTTGTAATAGGAGCAACCACAGCGGCTGGCTTTTCGTTTTCCAGAAGTTCTGCTTTCCTCTGTGATTTCTGCTGCATCTTATTCTTGATTTCTGTCTCAATCCTGGATTTTTCAGCTGTCAGGGCATCACGTACTCTTTTTCTAGTGGCTTTTTCCAGCAGCACCTTCACCTCTTCTAGATCTTTCTGTAGCTGTGTTAAAATAAAAGATAAGTTAGCTATGATAAATAAGACAATAGTTTGATATTGTGCATATCGGTCATTTCAATTTACTGAATAAGAGCTAAGAGTAGGAGGTTCATTTAAATTTCCTAGGGTTGGGTAGCAACAAGGATTCTTTCCTCCAGCCTACTGAATTGTAAATAACTCAAGATTCCTTTCTTTTAAAAAGGAAAACTTAATCTTGAAGTAACAATAGGTAATCAAGCCAAATTTTTCCAGTCTGGTAGACTGTTATCTACCTTTGTTTTAAAACATTTTATTTACAAAATACGAGTGTGATTTATAAACATTTTCTGATTATAACGTGAAGAAATCCAACAAAAGGGAATCGTGAATTTCCTTGTAACATCCAGTCCTAGTCAAGAGATATTAGGAATTTTTTAAATATTGAAGTAAAAGAGATGAGTGATTACATGGTAAGTGTGGTGAAATGCTACAGCAACTTGACTGAGGTAATACTCTACTTTCCGTCAGTGATGCGTCCTCACTGATCTTCCTACCCCTAGTACTACACATAAGAAAGTTAAAATTTTTAAGACAAAAGATAAAAAAATAAAGACATATTTCTTCTTCTAAGAAGTTAGACAACTTCTTAATTCTAAAGCTCCTGGTTAATTTTACTGTCAAAAGTCTGGGACTTGGTTGCACAGTAGAGGATGAAAACCTGGACAAACAATCCAACATGCAATGCACTCCTGGATCACTGAAAAAGCCACCTGTTTTTTTCTTCTCACGCCAATACACTGCCTACCCAAGTCTATTTCTATTACTTTCTAGAGACAAGAGTCAACATTGTGTTAATTTAAGAGTTAAAGACACTGTTAGAAAATTAATGGGCTTAAAAACTTTTTCCCAGTTACCCTCTGACTTACTGCAAATGCATGAGATCTTTATAAACAAGGGATTCATTTCTCTTAAAATGACTTTACATTCTGGCTTGATACTAGCTAGCAATCTGACAGGAAGGCTTTGACATTATAGCCTGAGATCATGTAAGGCTCAATATAAAAATCTTTAAATGCTTGGTAACTTAGTATAATATCCAAAGTACAGCTCGAAAGTCTTTAGATTTCTTGAGTCTTAGAAAATGCAAACCAGAAAAACAAATGCTTTTCTTTTATCCCAAGTCTTTTATCTCATTTAACTCAGATGCCCTTGTTTCACCTATCTGTAACTGCTAACTTGGTATAAAAAGTCCAACTGTGCCCAGTCTCCTGCCCAAATTCTATCCCCACCTCCCAAAACTCATATTACTAAGAAAAAAAATTGCAAACTCATCTTTAAAGCACAGAACCAAGATACTTTTAGTGCAAAGCAATCTTTTTTGTTATAATAGCTTTCAAAATTCACATTCATTCTAATAACAAGATGAAAAAAAATTAAAATGTTAAATGAGTATATTTTGTTTCCAGAGTAAGGATTTAGTTAAAAAAAAAAAGTAAACGTATAGAGTCTAAACAAAAGGTTTTACTTCTTGACTGGAATAGGAATCCTTTTTCTAGGAGACTCAAAAGAGAACTCTGAGAATTAAGCAAGAGATCCCCAGGCCCTCTTTACAGCCAGTTTGGCTCTACAGTACTACAAAAATAAGATATCCACTGTAAGTTTGAAGCAATTTACAGCAGGCCTGTTTAAGGTAATTCCTCAGTTCTTCTCTGTTATTTGCAGATCTGAAACCAGTAAAATTGATCCCTTTGGTGCTTTTCCTGTACACATATTTAAGATGCCTTAGATACAGCATTTCTTACCTAATTTATCTAGGCATTCACTTGTTTTCCTTATGCAAAATCACACCTCCCTTTTATCCCTATCCATAAACACATTAAAGCTTTCTCTTCTAATCTATTTCCAAATTCTTCACTAGGAAGCAATAAAACCAAAGTGCCTCAAAATAGGCAAAGACCTTGTACAGACATTTCTCCAAAGACAGACAAATGGCCCTCAAGCGCATGAAAAGATGCTCAATGTCATCAGGCATTAAGGAAATGCACATTAAATCCACAATGATACACCACTTCACATCCACTAGGATGACCAACAACAACAAACTCCAGCAAATAACAAGTGTTGACGAGGATGTGCAGAAATCGGAAGCTTCATACACTGCTTGTGGGAATGTAAAGATGCACTTTGGAAAGGAGTTTAGCAGTTTCTCGAAGTTAGTTACCCTATGACCCTGCAATTCCACTCCTAGATACGTACGCAGAGATTTGAAAACGTATATCCACATAAAAAGCTGTACACAAGTATTCATAGCAACACTGTTCATAATAGCCAAAAAGTGGAAATCATCCAAATGTCTATCAATTTATGAATAAACAAAATGTGGTATATCCATAAAAAAGATTATTCTGCCATAAAAAGAAATACATGTTTCACCATGGATAAATTTGAAAACATTATGCTAAGTAAAAGAAGGCAAAAAGTAAAAGGCCACACATTGTAAATCTCCATTTGTATGAAATGCTCAGAATAGGCAAATCCATAGAGACATAAAGTAGACTGGTGGCTGCTGAGTGGGAAGGAGTTATGGGAAGTGACTGCTTAATGGCCACTTAATGGGTTTCTTTTGGGGTTGAAGAAAATACTCTCAAATTATATAGTGGTGATGATTGCAAAAACACTGTGAATATACTAAAAAGCATTGCACCGTACACTTTAAAATGGTTAAAAACTGAATTTCATCTCAAACAAAAAAAAGTGTCCCTAAATGTATACACCGCAATTAGAAAGCCCCTTACTTTAAAGAGGATTAATACTGAACACGCCAAATGTAGGACTGTAAAGTCACTTCAGAGATTCTTTCCTCAGGGCACATGGTACCACAAGGCCAATCTTTAACACCTAACAAACTTGTGGCAAGTTATCCAGAATAACACACATAGCTTTTCTTCATTTAAAGCAAATTCTCAGACTTAAAAAGTCAAATGTGAGATTTCCCACTCTTGTTCATATTAAGCAAAAAGATTTCCAGAGAACAAATCTAGTCAATGGATACCCAACACTTTACTGTGAATAACAGTACTGTCATCTTCAGTCAAAAAAAGAGCAATCCAAGTTTATTATTCCCATGCTGTAACTGTGCAAACTAAGTCTCCAAAAAAGTTAAGCTGTCTCTGTTTAAAGAGCTTAAAAGAGAAAAAGCTATTTCCCACCACTAGTTACAACTAACTTTACAATTTATTTTTAAAAACGCCTATAGCAGATTGTTTTGTCAAGCACTGTTTTGAACATTTACAACTATTACTTGGTCTTTACAACCCTATGAAAAGGATACTGTGACCCAGAGAAGCACCATAACTTGCGCAAAGTCTGTGTAGAGAAAAGATGACTAAGAGAATTTAAGTGCCGGGACCGAAGACTTCTCACCTTCCAACTGCCCTCTACCATGGAACGACACTCAGTTTTTGTAATCAGCTTTAATTTAACGACGCTTCACGTCCTCAGGCCAGTGTAACGCGGGCGGAAAGGGCCTGAGGATAACGTGAAGGTGACCAGCCCTCAGGTCCACCATCGGACCTACCTGCCGCCGGGAACCACTACACACACCCCCGCTCACCTACACCGCCGACCAAGGCTGAGCCGGGGGCATCGATCGTCAACTTTCCGGGGAAAGCGAAGGCCCCGAGGCCCGCAGTGGCCGGGTCGGCAACGGGGCGCCTGCAGCTGGGCGGGTGGGAGGCCAAGGGGAAGCGCGGGAACCCGAGTACGCAGGAAGGCGGTCCGACAGGGAGGTGTCGCGTGCGGCCGCTAGGCAGCTCCGCACGGGAAACGGCGGTGGGGCGGGAGACGGAGCGGAAAGCTCCAGGAAGGGCGAGCGAGGAAGATGAAGGCCGGACCCCTTACCTCCTCCACAGATGAAGCCATGCTCGGGCTGCGTGAGGGAAGGCCCAAGCTGCAGCGGCGCAGGGGCGAGAACAGGAAACGCCGCACTGACCGCGCTCACCCCGAGCGCAGACAGCACCGGCACCTTTCACAGTGGCCGCGGCCTGAGGGCACACCCGACCCTGCCAGAGATCTCGGCCCGCCTCCCGCACGCGGCGCCTCTAGAACCTTCGCGAGTCCTTCGAGGCCGCCCCCCGCGCCCAAGCACCGCCTGCAGGGCTCGGCCCCGCCCCGCCTCGCCTGGCCCCGCCCCGCCCACCTCGCCTCTTAGCAAAGCTCAACTCTCGCGATTAAACCGGAAGTTCGAGAAGAGAAACGCCTCTACCTCCACGCCGGGGCAAGTGTACGTAATATACTTTGACCCCGTAGGTCCCGGCTGCGCAGTCGCAGCTCAGAACCGCTGCTTTCCCGTACCATAACCCAACCCCGGAAATCACGCACTGATCTTCGGGGGTCCAAGCCGGAAGTTGACTAGAGAGTCGGCTGTTTCCGTGCTCTCTAGGACCCAGTGCCATCGAGGCGGCCGTCTTGTGTAGGGTTAATCTGTGAAGTGCGAGAAAAGGACAAAAAGGGGGAGAAAAGGAAGCCTGTTTATGCTAAGACGGGACAGAATGAGAACGTTAAGTGTGCTGGGTCCTGAAGGGAACAGTTTTATTTTCAGTGACTGCTGGCGCTCTGGAGACGTCATGATTTAGCCTGTACGACGTGGTGACGTCATCATGGATTGCGGGAGGAGGTGGGGTTGCGTTGGCTACGTGACGGGACCCAGTATCCCCGCGGGGAAGTAAGCGTGCTAATATAGCGGGTACCTCCATGTGTCACCGCATTTCGGGTCCCGGTTTCCCCTCCTAGACTGTTGAAGGCCTTCCCTAGCACCTTCACCGACCATTCTGCGAGTCTCTAGTTGTCACCCAGGTTTGGATTCGGTTTAAGTGAGTCTATTCGCCAAAGAAAATGTGGGCTGAGCTTTCCTGGGGCTGCCTTCTGCTCCTGTTCTGGCTCCCGCAATCCCGCTATGTAAGGCCCTTGAGAACCCCCCGTTTTCAGACTGTTTTAGCCTCTGGCAGACTGAAAATGTCTGCAGCCCCGTTGAGAGCATAAACAGTAACCCCGGAGAAGTCAAATAGCCCACACTCAGCTTAATATATCGCCCGAGGTAGCGATTAGAATCAGCACGTCAGAGGAGGAAAAAAGGACTAGAAAAAGGCAGGCTGACCATTATGGTAGTAAAGAATCTGAAGTACCATACAAAAACAAATTACAGCTACGTACAACGTGCATGAATCTCAAACGTGACGTTAAGGGGAAAGAAGCCAGACAGAGAAGTTCTTCTCTAAAACTGCGAGACATTCAAAATCGGGTTAGTCTTTCCTTAAGTGGGGAGGACAATGACAGAAAGGAGCCACAAGGGGACTTTTGAGGTTCAAGTAACGTTCTGTTTTCTTTCTTTGGATGCTGGTTACAGATGTGTTCACTTTGTAGAAATTTCATTGAGCTGTAATTTGTGTAGTTTCTTTTGTATGTTATAGTTAACTAAAAGTTAACTAAAAGTAGGCCCGGGAGGGAATTTTCCAGAGATGATAGAAGTGTTGCACTGATACATGCAATTGTCAGAATTCACAGAACGGGTACTTTCTGGTGGTCCAGTGATAAAGAATCTGCCTTCCAATGCAGGGGATGCAGGTTTGATCCCTGGTTGGGGAACTAAGATCCCACATGCTGTGGGGCAACTGAGACCGCGGGCCTCAGCTAGAGCCCGGTGCTGCAAACTACAGAGGCCACACCACAACTAGAGAGAGAAAGTCCATCCGCATGCCACAGCTAGAGAGAAACCCTCACACCACAACGAAGAGCCTGCGCTGCAATGAAATATCCCACATGCCACAACTAAGACCAGAAAAAGAAAATAAAAAAGATTAAAAAAAGAGGCCAAGAAAATATTTTTTTAAATGTATGCTGTGTGTAAATTTAAAAAAAAGAATTCATAGAATGAACTCCTAAGATCTGTGCATTTTGTTTAGTTATACCTCAAGTTTTTAAAGAAGTATCTAGGGAGTTCCCTGGTGGTCCAGTAGTTAGGACTCCCTGGGCTTTCACTGCCAAGGCCAGGGTTCAATCGCTGGTCAGGGAACTAAGATCCCACAAGCAGCACAGCACAGCCAAAATAATAATAAAATACTCCACTTAAAAAAAGAGTGCCTAACTGGAAGCCTGGAATTATTTAGGTACTTAATTAAATAGGAACAAATATCCTAGTCCACTGCGTGAGAACTTGACCTAATGCAGTGATTTTTAAATTTGCTTGATTATGCACCTTGGGCAACTTTTCCGCCAGATATCCTAAAGCCACAAGTTTTAAGTACCACCTGTTACCAGTGACTCCCAAATCTATACCTTCAGTTCCACCATATCTCTGAGCTCCAGACTCTGCCTTTGCTTCGATGTCTGATAAGACATCAAATTCAGCTTGTCTGAAAAACAAAACAACCAAAAAAACCTCCTGACTTCTCATCCTCGCACACCAAATCAGTTCTTCCAGCTATTCTCCAGCTCTGTGAATGGTCACCTCATTTTCTTAATTGCTCAGGCCAAGCATACTTGAGCTCTCAAGTCATACTTGAGCCTTCAATTTCAGGTCCTACATCCCATTCTCTGGCAAGTCTTTCTGGTTTTATCTTCAAATATATAATGAGAATAAAATCACTTCTCTCACCTAATCTGTGACAAAGGAGGCAAGAATATACAATGGAGAAAAGACAGCCTCTTCAATAAGTGGTGCTGGGAAAACTGGAAAGCTACATGCAAAAGAATGAAATTAGAACACTCCCTAACACCATACACAAAAACTCCAAATGGATTAGAGACCTAAATGTAAGGCCAGACACTATAAAACTCTTAGAGGAAAACATAGGCAGAACACTCTTTGACATAAATCGCAGCAAGATCTTTTTTGATCCACCTCAGAGAGTAATGGAAATAAAAACAAAAGTAAACAAATGGGACCCAATTAAACTTAAAAGCTTTTGCACAGCAAAGGAAACCATAAACAAGACAAAAAGACAATCCTCAGAATGGGAGAAAACATTTGCAAACAAAGCAACTGACAAAGGATTAATCTCCAAAATATACAAACAGCTCATGCAGCTCAATATCAAAAAACAAACAACCCAATCAAAAACTGGGTGGAAGACCTAAATAGACATTTCTCCAAAGAAGACATACAGACTGCCAAAAAACACAGATGCTCAACATCACTAATTATTAGAGAAATGCAAATCAATACTACAATGAGGTATCACCTCACACCGGTCAGAATGGCCATCATCAAAAAATCTACAAATGGGACTTCCCTGGTGGTACAGTGGTTAAGAATCCGCCTGCCAATGCAGGGGACGTAGGTTCGAGCCCTAGTCCGGGAAGATCCCACATGCCACGGAGCAACTAAGCCCGTGTGCCACAACTACTGAGCCTGCGCTCTAGAGCCCGCAAGCCACCA